GTGTCCGAATTTAATGAATTTAAGCCACGTCTTAAATCCCCCAAAAACCGATATTAACTGAGCCCGGCTTAAATCTTAAAAAAAAATAATTAAAATTTAAGTGGAACCAACCATATTTGAGCCGCAGCTAAAATTTAAACCGCGGCTCAAATTCTTTAAATTCGGCCTCTGATTAATTAAAATAAAAATAAAAATAAGAGAATCCCAAATTTATATAAATATACTAATTACCCTGTTTTCTCTTCTTTTTCCTCTCCAAGGTTAAGTGCTGACTCTGCAACGAGTGATATAAAGTACTAGCTTAGGTGCCCGGCGTTGGCCGTGAAACTCAAAAAAATTTCGAATTAAAAAAAAAAATTGAAAAAAACGACAATATCTTTCACATTATTTATCAAATAAAGGTTAATAATGTAATGCCTCTCTTTAAGGGTCACTTGGAATTCCAACGACTGAAGTGTCCCTTTGAGAAAAGAGTTAAACAAAAAGGTTCGGTTCGATAAGTTAACCAACCGCGTTGGGTCAACCACATACTCGGTAAGCTATAGACGGGCCGGTACGGTACAGACTAGACTGGCTTCCTTGTACTGGTTCGGATCATGCTACTTTAAACTTTTTTTAAAACTTTTTTTTGCATAATTTGTGCAGGAGGATTGTCACTATGTATATCTTTTACATTGAAAAAGTTATGAGAAAATGAACATTGACTATGGAAAAACTTCAGAAAATAAAAGAAATATTTGCTAAAATGACAGGACTATGACTGGACAAATATAATCAGGGAACCAAGGACTATAAAAGAAAAGACAAATATAATCCGTGAACCAAGGACTATAAAAGAAAAGACTAATATGATCCGGGAACCAAGGACTATAAAAGAAAAGACAAATATAATCCGGGAACCAAGGACTATAAAAGAAAAGACAAATATAATCAGGAAACCAAGGACTATAAAAGAAAAGAAAAATATAATCAGGGAACCAAGGACTATAAAAGAAAAGACAAATATAATCCGGGAACCAAGGACTATAAAAGAAAAGACAAATATAATCCGGGAACCAAGGACTATAAAAGTAAAGACTAATGTAATCAGGGAACCAAGGACTATAAAAGAAAAGACAAATATAATCCGGGAACCAAGGACTATAAAAGAAAAGACAAATATAATCCGGGAATAAAGGACTATAAAAGAAAAGACAAATATAATCAGGGAACCAAGGACTATAAAAGTAAAGACTACTGTAATCAGTGAACCAAGATAATCAAGGACTTTATAAAAGAAACATCTAATAAATCAAGAACTTTAAAAGAGAGATTGACGAATATAATCAGAGAATGAAGGAAGGATCGACAAATCTATCAAAATCAGATTGATCCACAGATAGGAAATTATGCATTATTTAAGACGAGGCCAACTTTAAAGGGTCGTCAGGACCTTGATCCTTCCAACCTGAAAACTGCAAAGCTCTGTTTTCTATAAAACCATCAGTGTTTAATGAGTATTTGGGAAAATGTGAATATTTGAGAGTAAAATATATTCCTAGCCCGTGTTTGAACTGTATAGCGTGGATTTGAGTTAAAAGTAAAATATATTCCTAGCCCGTGTTTGATCTGTATAGCGTGGATTTGAGTTGAGAGTAAAATATATTTCTAGCCCGTGTTTGATCTGTATAGCGTGGATTTGAGTTGAAAGTAAAATATATTCCTAGCCCGTGTTTGATCTGTATAGAGTAGATTTGAGTTGAGAGTAAAATATATTCCTAGTCCGTGTTTGATCTACAGGGTGTCCCAAAAAACATGGGAATTCAGTGACGAATTCGATATCGTCTTTTTAGATAATTCTTTGATTTAGTAAAGTGATACCTACTGAGAAAGCTGTAATTTGTAAGAGTTTCGTCTGCTAAGTTCACATTTTGTTTGTTTATGTTTTGACTGCATACGGTTGTACTTAGTAAAACAAGAAAATTACAGTATACAAACAGAGTANTGTTGAAAGGAATGGAACAGTTGGAGCTTCATGATGGTCAGCTCACAGGTGTCAGCATCTTGGCAGCAAAGGGTTCACATCTAGGCTAGGGTCCTTGAGGGTTTGCAGTCTGTAACATGTGTAGGGAGGAACTGATTGCCTCTCAACCCCTGGACATGCGACTGCTTTGTGGATTTGGACATCTGGAGGCTTAGACATTAGCAGCATTTGTTGCTAGAGTAGACATCGGCGGCAGGATGAAGGAGTTAGTAGTTCCTGATCAGAGGTGTTCACATCTCGACATTCTAAAGCTAACTGACGCTGTTCCCCACAAGTAGAGGCGGTAAGGGGGGGGGGGAACATGAGGAGACACATTTGGAGCGGATATAGTATTATAGTATTGTGAATCTTCCGCGGTCAACTTCGCTACACAGTAGTAATCGTCTTCGTGTTTTCTTGAATTTGTTACAACTGTACCTTCCCTAGCTTTGATTTACCAAGAGAACTAAGTGCTTCGGAAAAAAATGATTTTGCTTCAGTAAACATTCCTGTAAAATAGTTTTATTAGTTAGAAAAGAATTAATCCAGGGGATGAAACTTCAATTTCGCGAAATAACGGCAAAATTTTACGTAATTTCTAAAAAGGAAATTTTAGCTAAATTTTGTAACGGTTACGTGCAATTAGCGAAACTTCGATTTTGCGAAATAATGGAGTAATTTCGCGTAATTTTTAGAAGGTAGTTTAGCCAAATTTTGCAATAATTACCCGTAATTAGCGAAACTTAGATTTCGTAAAATTACATCGTAATTTCGCGTAGTTTCTACAAGTTATTTTTTCGAAATATTGCAATAAATGGGTAGTTAGCGAAATTTCAATTTCGCAAAATTACGCCGTAATTTCGCGTTATACAAAAGTAATCCGCGAAATGTTGCAATAATTACGCCTAACTAGCAAAACTTCAATTTGTAAGTATTTAAATTATCCAATCAGATTGGACATGGTTGTAGCGCGCATATCCTTACACATATTTTCCCGCTATATTCATTTCTGAGAATTAACATGTACTATACTAATCACGGAATGGGTTTGTACATCTAATCATCTATTGCAATTGTATTTTGTTGTTGTTGTTGTTGTCTTTACCTAATTCACATAAACATTTAGCGTGCCTCTGCAGTAACTTGTACTGCAGGTGTACAGGATAACCAGACCTGGAAATATACAGTACAAAGTACAGAGTAAAGTACAAAGTACAGAGTAAAGTACAAAATACAGATAAAAGTACAAAGTACAGAGTAAAGTACAAAGTACAGAGTAAAGTACAAAGTACAGAGTAAAGTACAAAATACAGATAAAAGTACAAAGTACAGAGTAAAGTATAAATTACAAAGTAAAGTTCAAAGTACAGAGTAAAGTACAAAGTACAGAGTAAAGTACAAAATACAGAGTAAAGTACAAAGTATAGAGTAAAGTACAAAGAACAGAGTAAAGTACAAAGTACAGAGTAAAGTACAAAGTACAGAGTAAAGTACAAAGTATAGAGTAAAGTACAAAGTACAGAGTAAAGTACAAAGTACAGAGTAAAGTACAAAGTAAAGAGTAAAGTACAAAGTAAGGAGTAAAATACAAAAATACAGAGTAAAGTACTAAGTAAAGAGTAAAGTACAAAATACAGAGTAAAGTACAAAATACAGAGTAAAGTACAAAATACAGAGTAAAGTACAAATTTTTTTTTTTACTTACTTCAGAGCTAACTGAGTGTCCTTTAGGCATTGTTGAGAATTACCCTGTCTGAAGAATAGTGCACTCCTTTCATAAAAAACAAATAATTAAAAGTATATAAAATGAAATTACAGAGGTTAATTAAATAGTCTCTGTGAAATTATATTAAGACTGCTTTGTTGCCAAAACCAACAAAAGTTACATTTTTACTAAATTTAAGTTGTTTGAATATTAAACTTGAAGAGAGGTCCAACTTTTTATGTATAAAAAGGACTGTAAGCGTAATTTCAAGTAACCCTCCATGCAAAGATGGCAATTTCCGATTAAGATCGGTACCTTTAAAAGCCTTTTCTAATCAAGTATGAATTCAGGCTCTGTGCAGATACCATTTGGGTTGATTGTTTTTTTTACAATTTATTTTAAAATTAAATCTTTTTAACAAAATGTTAGAGAGAGCAGTGAATTTTTCTTCTGACTTGTATCTTCTTTTTAGCTGATCATACATCTGTAGAAATCAGACGTATTTGCAGTTTTCAGTTTTGCCAGAAATTTATATTATTAAAGAACAGAGCACTGCTTTCTATGTCCTAACCCATAGATAAATAAATAAACATAGATAGCTTATGTACGCAAAATAACCAAGAATTGTACATTCCGCGAACTCATACTTCTAAGGGTCAAAGTGTACTTCAATTATAAGCGGGGGTGGTTGGTGTTTTAATGGATTTCATAATTATTAAACCACTCAGGAGTGAATTTTATTTCACTGAGCAATATATCATATTGACGAGAACTGAAGGACATGAGAAGGACTAACTAACTTAAATTTCTCTCTACAGAATTCATGTACACCACAAGTACTCAATGACATAAGAACAGCCAATGTTCACAACCGACCTAGTTAATCTATATAATAGGAATATCTTTAAAAATCTCTGTACATTTATATCTTTCAAGATGAAAATTGTCGTCTTATGCGCAATCTATCTTTATCTAACCTTCCCAGTGCCAGCTTGCAACTGCCTTCTGGCCCTTTAATTTTGATTTTTAAGAATAGATTAAAATAAAAGCTGTTCATGCATGTTTTGACATAACTTTGACTAAATTCACTGTAAAAAAATCCAAGGGGAAATTTTTGCCAAGGAGGGAAAATTTGGTGTTCTTCGCGCATATACATTGAATTTTTTTCCCACCTCCTGGAAAATATCTTATGCCGCCCCTGTCATTCTATCCAAAATTCATCTTTCCTGAATTCATAATCGTTAAAGTTTCTACAATAACTGTTCCTACTGCTTTCATTAATATTTTTGAACGATGTATTCATTAGCGAAAAATTCCGTTCTTCAATCGAAAAAATAACGACATTTTCCCGTTAACGGTGCACAACCCTAGCTTTGCCCCTAAAGTATCTTATTATTATTATTATTTATTTATTTATTAACTTACAACTTCTCAAGAGTACATAGTAGATAGTAGATACTTTGCTAAATGTCTCAAGATAACCATTAAAAATTACAAACTTTTCATCCAAAAAGTTAACTTTAAAACCTTTGGGAAAAAAATCGAAATCGAAATTTAAAAGTTTAAGAAATTTCGGTGGCCCTTCTAATGCAATAAGTCTATAATTAAATTTCAAAAATGTCTTTTATTGGAACATATTTAAATTTTTGGATTTCATGCGCAACCATTTTATACAAATTGTTGCAGGCGTTGGATGAGGATGTTTGAACCCAGGTAGTTAGTAGAACCCTACCCGAACCCCACAAAATCTTTTTCGAGCCCAGCTAAAGACTGTTCCAGCCCTGTCAAAGACTGCCCAAACAAAACTTTTATTAATAATTGACTTTAAAAAGAAAAATTTCAAAAATGAAAATGCGGGGAATAGGTTACATACTTCTTTTAGCCTTGAAACTCTTTTTCAGTGTGAAATTTTGTCTCCCTAGATTTAACGAATAATGTATTAAGTGGACTGGTCGCAGTGATGAATAGGTAATAGGAAAAATCTGTGAAGTCTTGAATACTAATTCTATCCAAGAACTAGGTCATAAAGTAAGTTTTAATCTATGCATAAGGGATGGGTAGTGTTCACTTTTAAACAAATATTTTGATCGTTTCGTAAACGATGAAAAAGGAAATAATCTTTAAGCTGGATAAATTAATTGTAAAAATTCAACAAAAAGGTTTCCAGTGTTAATTCCACATAGAAAACGGTACCCAATTAAAATCTTAATCTAAAAAAAATATGAAAGATAACGTCGCTTTTCTGACTCGAAAAGTGCTTAATTCTGGTAATTTTCATGGTTTTTATAACCAAAAATGCGCAATTAAGTCGCTTTTGCAGTACAACCACATATAAAAATAAACAAAAACAAGAATATAATTCATATCTTGACATGGCTTTTGATGGAGTGCCGTTGTAATTCAGGCATTGCCGTCTTTGCATGGAGGGTCACTTAAAATTAGACTAACAGTCCCTTTAAGCTATTTAGAGGGTTTATCATTTCTCTTGTGGTTTCTGATTGAACAGCCCTTAACAAGAGCTATATCAAACAAACAAGATTATCTTAATCCTCCCTGTAAATAGGGAGGATAAGTAATTATCCTCCCTGGAAATAAAAAAAGTAGGGAATTTAAGGTTGGTTATTTCGTTGAACAGGAGATTAAAATCTTAATCTAAAAAAATATGGAAGATAACGTCGCTTTTCTGACTTAGAAAAGTGTTTAATTCTGGTTATTTTCATGGTTTTTATAACCAAAAATGCGCAATTAAGTCGCTTTTGCAGTACAACCACATATAAAAATAAACCAAAACAAGAATATAATTCATATCTTGACATGGCTTTTGATGGAGTGCCGTTGTAATTCAGGCATTGCCGTCTTTGCATGGAGGGTCACTTAAACATTAGACTAACAGTCCCATTAAGCTATTTAGAGGGTTTATCATTTCTCTTGTGGTTTCTGATTGAACAGCCCTTAACAAGAGCTATATCAAACAAACAAGATTATCTTAATCCGACAGAAGGTCTAAATTTTGATAATTTAAATTTTCGACCTCAGTTGAAATCTCTTCAATGTTGTTAATTAAAACCTGTTTGCTAAAGCTAGAGCCATATCCTCCCCTTGTCCATCCCATGGATCAGCTGGTGCTACCAGTAGCGCCTGGTTATAGCACTCTAGCGCCTCCTATCAAACAAAAATTGAACCTCAAAATTTGTTTCGCAGTACGACTTTTAATTAAAACAATTCCAATGAACAGATATTAAATAAAATAAAGAATGCTATTGATACAATTTTTCTTCAAATATTTGCATTACTTCATCGTTTTGAAGGGAGAAGGCCGAATTCCCTGCGTCTCTCATATGCTTGCTAAGAACGGGGTCCTTCTCACCCTTCCCTCCACCTCCGCCTTCTCCCCCTCTTCTTATTCCCTGAAAATCAATCCAATTTCAGATTTGCAGAACAAAATCTAATACAGTGATAACAAGAAAACTGTGGAATAGGAAGACGACATTAAAGAATTGTTAAGTGAATTTTATTAAGTTAGAAAGCAAATAGTTTCACCAGTATTTTATTAAATGTGAAATGGGTCTGTTTACACTGCACAATTACTCATGTTCATTGGAATATTTAAAGTCATAAATTGAGTCTAAAAGTCGTCTTTCTATTCTGTAGTTTTCTGGTTCTGTATAAATAAAATTACTTTGACAGACATCAGACTCACAGAAAGCGTTTTTAAAGTTTCAGGAATAAATATCTAAATACCAAAATATAAATATCTAAATACCAGAATATAGATATCAAAATACCAGAATATATCTAAATACCAAATATAAATATCAAATTACCAGAATGTAAATAACAAATTTCAGAATATAAATAACTAAATTCCAGAATATAAATGTCAAAATACCAGAATATACATATCTAAATACCAGAATATAAATATCTAAATACCAGAATACAAATATCAAAATAACAGAATATAAATATCAAAATACCAGAATATAAATATCTAAATACAACTACCAGATTATAAATATAAAAAAACCAGAATATGAATATCTAAATACCAGAATATATCTAAATATCAGAATATAAATATCAAATTACCAGAATATAAGTAACAAATTCCAGAATATAAATATCTAAATACCAGAATATAAATATCAAAGTACCAGAATATACATATCTAAATACCAGAATATAAATATCAAAATGCCAGAATATAAATATCTAAATACCACTACCAGATTTTAAATATCAAAATACCAGAATATACATATCTAAATACCAGAATATAAATATCAAAATGACAGAATATAAATATCTAAATACCACTTCCAGATTTTAAATATCAAAATACCAGAATATAAATATCAAAATGCCAGAATATAAATATCTAAATACCACTACCAGATTTTAAATATCAAAATGCCAGAATATAAATATCTAAATACCACTACCAGATTATAAATATCAAAATACCAGAATATCAATATGTAAATACCAGAATATAAATATAAAAACAGAATGATATTAATGGCTAAAAGCTTTCTATTAAATTTTTCATTTTAAAAAGAATTATTTAGCTATTATTATACACATTTTAATTCGCATTAAGAAAAAAATAAAAACGCTTCACAAGGACTTTAAGGCAGGATTGCAATGCCCGATTTACAACAGTACCCTTGAAACCTTAATCCGATCAATAATTGGGAAGATGTTGTCGTTTATATAAGTCTAAATGTCTTTAATTCTGATGATTTCTTTATGCTCTCCTAGCAATAGAAATGCGCGAGTCACTTTTGGAAAGAAACCACAACCGAAAATAATCATTTTAAATTTATAAACATCGATTTTATACTTGATCAGCCAAAACGTTTAGTTTTAAGGGTACCGATGTCAAATGGGCAGTTTACTTACAGTCCCTTTAAATCAAATACTTGCATTAAACCTTTTACCTGTAATAAAGGCCAATAGCCTTCATGCTTGTAAATAAACTTTATTCTCTCCTCAGGTGACTCCAGAGTACTTCAAATACAACCAATTAGGGTTTCCAATCGGAATTCCGTTGCGCAGAATTGCGCGCAGCTGTTCTCATACATTGCGCGCAGCTGTTCTCGTACCTGGTGCGCAATTGTGTGGATTTGCGCGGAAATTACAGGGCCCGCAATTGCACGCAAAGTAAAATCCACTTGCGGGAAAACATTCGACCAATGGAAAACTGAGAATGTTTGCAGTTTTAGTTCAGCATGTTTATCATTGGATTAAATTTATTTTGATCCAATGTAAATGTTATTCAATATGTTTTTATCTACATAATGTTATGTAATTTTATTTGCTAAAATGGAGAGACTGGCTTAGTATGGTATGGTCGTCGTCGTAAATATCAATACAATGAAGACGATTTTCGATTTCAATTTTTAATGTCTACGAAGTTCTTACACAACTAAAATACCACATGTAACATGGAAACAAAGATAAGCTGTCATTCAAAAAAGTTTCTTTTTACTTTAGAAGTCAAAACTTAAATTGAAAAGGCATCTTTATTGTATTGACATAATTAATTGATGTATATATATCAATATTTAGCCCAATTTAAAGCCTTTAAAAACTGGATTCAACATTTTCTAATCTCCGGCGAGGATATTAACCTAGAGACTCAAAGGTAAGCAGACCCTACAACGGCCCAATTGAGTTTAATCAATTCAGGCAAGATGATTTTGGACTTTCTCTGTCTTATGCTGTTATATCACAGAGTAGGAATATCTTAAATGCCGTCGACCCTGGATTAAGTTATTTTTTCAATTTAATAAAGCTCTTCGCTTATATGTATATAAATATGTTAGCTATAGCTGGCCAAACGGCTGGACCGAATGTGCTGAAAGTTTTTGAGGGAACCCTTGAGCACCACGGAGGTAAAATAGGATAAAAAAATTAAATTCGATTTTTCAAATTCCACGGGCAATGCAGGACATTTCAGCAAGTCTATAATAAAGTTTATTATCTATTGAATTTAATTGATTCCTAAATTGATCCAATTTTTCACTCTTCAAGAAAGCTATTATCAGATGATGAACAGAATCGTTGACCTAAAATATTCAAAGAATTCAGAAAGAAATTTAAAAAGTGCCAAAAAGATAAAAATTCTTATTTTAGGAACTGTAGTAGATACCTCTATGGTAACCTCCTCTATCATAAAATACTATTCTATGGATACCTCCTCTATTTTTAAAACACTACTTTATAGATATCTCCTCTAATATAAAATACTTATCTATGGATACCTCCTCTTTTATAAAATACTTCTCTATGGATACCGCCTCCGTTATAAAATACTACTCTATAGATACCTCCTCTATTATAAAATACTACTCTATGGATACTTCCTCTATTATAAAACACTACTCTATGGATACCTCCTCTGATATAAAATACTACTCTGTGGATACCTCCTCTGTTATAAAATACTACTCTATGGACACCTCCTCTGTTATAAAATACTACTCTATGGACACCTCCTCTGTTATAAAATACTACTCTATGGATACCTTCTCTATTTTTAAAACACTACTTTATGGATACCTCCTCTATTATAAAATACTATTCGATGGATACCGCCTCTGATATAAAATACTACTCTTTGGATACCTCCTAAATTATAAAACACTACTTTATGGATACCTCCTCTCTTATAAGATACTACTCTATGGATACCTCCACTGTTATAAAATACTACTATTGGATACCTCCTCTGATATAAAATACTACTCTATGGTTATCTCCTCTGTTATAAAATACTACTCTATGGATACCTCCTCCGTTATAAAATACTACTCTATGGACACCTCCTCTATTATAAAACACTACTCTATGGATACCTCCTCTGATATAAAATACTACTCTATGGTTACCTCCTCTGTTATAAATTCTACTCTATGGTTACCTCCTCTGTTATAAAATACTATTCTATGGATACCTCCTTTATTATAAAACACTACTCTATGGACACCTCCTCTATTATAAAACACTACTCTATGGATACCTCCTCTGATATAAAATACTACTCTGTGGATACCTCCTCTGTTATAAAATACTACTCTATGGATACCTCCTCTGTTATAAAATACTACTCTATGGACACCTCCTCTGATATAAAATACTACTCTATGGATACCTCCTCTATTATAAAATACTACTCTATGGATACCTCTTCTATTATTTAATACTACTCTAAGAACCTGCTGTTCTGATAAGGTCTTCTTGTCTGCAAATGTGTTCGCCAACTTCAGTAATTTCTCATCATTCTCCATTTTTTCTTTAAGCAGTAAGTCTAAATCTTTAAAAAAACATTTGATTTTTTGTGGTGTTCAACTCAATTCAAAAGATATTAATTAACATTTAATAAATTTATGTGTCTATTTCATACTCTGGAAACATTTATTGACAATGAAAGTTTTAAAAAATGCCAAAATATAAAAAAAGAGAAAAGCTTTTTTATCGTTATACAGGGTTACCCCACAAAGGATGAAGACTTCAAAGATGACTGTACGGAATCTACGGAATATTAAAAGCCGATTTCTTACAGTCTTGATTCCCTGTAATATGAAAATTGTTTCTTTCTAGGCCAAATCGTGAAGTTCTTTTATTAAAGTCTCATCCTTTGTGGGTAACCCTGTTTGCTGAAATCAAAAACCCATAGTTTTCGGCTTAAACTTTAGAAAATATTTTACAATCAGAGAAATTTGAATCTTTCAGCGCGTAAGAAATGTCTGTTTTCATCCTAATTTAAAAAATTAAATTTAAATACAAAAAAGATGAAGTATCTCTTTCAGTTGAAATTAAACAGTGCACACTGCACATCACTTCCTTTAATAATATCNAAGTAGTTTTAGGTAATCCTTTATTCATAAATGATATTTTCGACTGAGGACGTTACCCTTGAAAGTTGAAACCTTAGTTTGATATCAAGGATGAACATGATGTGCCCATTTACTATTTTAGTGGTTTCTCTGAATAAATGACTATGTGAAAAAAAATGTTAAAATGTGTTCCACTTTCTCGACTTTCCAACAGATCTGCATCCCCCGCCCTCTACAAATTCATAGCTGCGGGCCTGATCTCCTCCACTGTTAGGGTTGGAAGACTTGTGTCTTGGAAAGGGTGTTCAAATTCACGAATTCCGCCAATAATCAGTTACATCAATTGAGGATTGTATCTTTTGTAATGAAGACGACATTTCTAGAACATTGGAGTGCATCTAGAGTAACTAACCTTACTATACAACCTTGCTATATACACAGTAGCGTACACAGGGGGGGCAGTAGTCCTCTTGCCCCCCCCCTGGGATTTTTGGGCAAAGGTAAAAAATAGGTGTTTTGGGTAAATAAAAGAGCTTGAGTAGACTTAATATAGAATAACAGCATTTTAAAGGCCAGGGGGGGGCAAAAAAAAATTTTCAGCGCTTCGCGCGAAAACTTGCCCCTCCCTGGCTGAATTCCTGTGTACGCGCCTGTAAATACACATGGTCAGACGGAGAAGGGAAGACATACCACACTTTTCGTTCGACCACACAAATGACGTCACAATTAACCATTATTTCGTGCGACCACAGTCACAACTTTTTTCGTCCGGCATTGCTTAAAAAAGACTAAATTATGAGAATACAAGACTCATTTTCAAGGAGGGATTTATCCGTGAGCCCAATTGATGGATTAACACAAAATATAAATATAGATTTAAAAACGACTAGGAGACATCAGACAATTCATAGATTTGCTTGAAAATACTTTCTCAACCGTTAAAATCTTTCTTCTTAAAACACAAAATAAAATCTACTACGGGAAGAACAAAAATAGTTTGGAAACTTAAAAAGATAGCTAGTGAAATCAAATGCTTCATTAAACATTTATTGAAGTTAAGGAAGAGAAATTATTTATTATTTATATTTTGAGAATACAAGCTTATTTTCAAAGAATTGATGGATTAACACAAAATATAAATATAGATTTAAGAACGACTAGGAGACATCAGACAATTCATAGATTTACTTGAAAATACTTTCTCGACCGTTAAAATCTTTCTTCTTAAAACACAAAAGAAAATCTACTACGGGAAGAACCGATCCAAACCGATTTATTTTCGCGAAAATGTTAGCATTTTTCGCGAAACGTTTCGTTCGCTGGAACTCGAGTCCCAATAAACAAGAAAGGAGTGATGATTTTGATTTAGAATAGTAATATATACCTACAAAAAAGCTCTTATCCGTAGATTTTTAGTCTGCTGATTTTTTTTTGTCTTATAGTTGAACTAAATTCGCGAAAATGAACGAACGAAACTTAACAGATAAAATTTTCACGAATTTCGAAATTTGCGAATTTGCGAAAATTTGATCATTTTTTGCGGAATTTTAGTTCAATTTTCGTTCGATATAAATCGAAATCTTTTTCTATTTTGAATCAAGAAGATTATCGGATATCTGACGTATTGTCAATCAAAACTTAAATAAAAAGTCGTCTTCATTGTATTAATATAATCGCCAATTAATAAAATACATTGTTTATCAGTGATTTTCTGCATTTCCATTTTCACATCTAGTAAGGGTATCGTGTTTAGTTTTGAACCTTAAATATACAGGGTTATGCGCAAAGGATGAAACTTTAATGAAAACCTGAACATTTTTACCTTCTAAGATCTGAAGGTCTTGAATATAGTTCGTGAATGATCTGGCAAAGAAAATATAAGTTTAAAGCTACAGGGAACATTCAATTTATAAACAAAGACCCAAAAATCCTGACTGTCGTCTCTTAGGTCTCATCCTTTGTGGGTAATACTGTACAATGTAGAATGTCTTATTCATGATTCTTGTTAAAAACATAAAAGATTATTTAATATGAAGACGACTTATCTAGGTTGATAGTATGTGTCCAAAATCCAATGTCCATACTGTTCATCTATTAAAGGACGTTCGACGGAACATGACAACATAAAAAGTGTCATGTCTGATTTGACTGGTTAATACTTTTCTGGGATTTAAATATTTCTGCAACGGCAGCTATGTGTAAGGGATTTCAATTTAACAGTTCTTAAACAAAAAGTTTTAACAAAAATTCGAAATCTCTTAACATCTTATCCAACAGTTGGAACAATGAATTCAAATTTTCGTGAAAATGGTTTGATGAACATTTCTAAGAATTTCGCGAAAGTTTCGAGCGAATTTCGCGAGAAAGTTTTACATGAAACGTTCGCGAAAATGACCGAAAGAGTAAGAGTTTACTACAGTGAATTCCAGATATATGAATACATACCAAGAGTTTTTTTAATATCGTATTACATATTTAAGATTAAATGTCGCGGAAAATTGAGTTTAATGTTAATATATCAATTGCATTCATATTTCAGGACCATTAATATACCTAGAACTAAAAGTAAAAAGAAGTTTTTTTAGAATTATACATTATAAAAAACTCTTTCTAAGTATTCATATATCCGGGATTCACTGTAAATAAACTGGCAAAGTTAAAGATTTTTGTGCAACCTCTGGGTACTAAGAAAATGATAAAAACACGGAATAAATTCCATACTGTCGTCTCTGTGTCTGATGAGGGCAACCCTCTTGATATTCTGTCTGTTAATGTATAAATGTTATTAAATGTCGTCTTTTCTACCAACCAACTTAATTTCTTTAGAAACCGTGATTAACGACTAGTTTTTAAGTGATAAAAGACAAATGTTTACGTTATCACCTAAATCTCATTTTTTATTGACATCCTTTACAAACAAATCATTGAAGATTTTATTCAATTGAAATACCATCTCCCAGATTTATATCAGGCTTATCTAGTCTTTCAATATTAACAGATATTTATCGTCAATTTTTAAATTGAATTGGCGAAGAATTTTTACTGGATTATAATTGCGACTTAAATATTCAAATCTATTGTCGTACATCATTCCTGAATCCTGGCATCTTGTCTTCGATTAAACTCTTTTGATCATAAATTAAAAACTCCTTCACAAAACAAATATTAAAAATAAATTCTTAACTTTTGCTTTCCTCATAGATTTTCAGCTTTTACTTTAGTGCTTCTTATTGGTATCAATCATTTTAGGCTAATCATTTTTATACATTCATCTGTTCATCTTGTTTTGTTTTTTAACTGAGACATATTTTTATATTATCTAAAAAACATTTGAAAATTAACCTATATTTTCTATTAAGAATTGATTGTCACTGAAAAAGTGTACTAACAAATAGTCAAACATACACATTATTCGAATCATACAAACAATCTCTGAAGAGACTTTTCAAACTAAAAGTTTACATCAATAAGTGAAATAGACTGACGACAAAAAAATATATTGGGACCACTTCCCATAGGGAACGATTTCGCAAATGGCAACTTCCTAAATGTTCATTGAAGCTTAGTTTAGGCCAGGGAAGATGATAGCCGACTACCGGAGCAGCTATTCAGCTTTAGTGAACACTTAAAAAAGTTTACAAATATAAGATATCAATTACTAGTTAAAAAATGCAATAATAATGATTAATAATGCGGAAGATATAGTCCTTTGAGTCCTTTTTGTAAATCTAAAGATATTTAATTGTGACAATTTTCTTCCATTGTTCAAGTATTTTAATTAAAGAATTAAAGAGCATTTTCGACTTTTAATTAAGTAAATCTCAAGTTTCACTATTGTATTTAGTAAATCTAAAAAGTATGTATAAGCCGGCATCAAATTTATTAGATAAGATTATGGGGATTGTAAAGGATGAAAAGGGATAATAATGGAAAATGGGGATAACAAGAAGTTTTTTTTTATTGTTTAAACAATTTAAATATTCGGCCAAACAAGGAAAAATATAGAAGATGTAGGAATTATTTTTCCGAAGTTGAAAATTTCATCAAAATTTGCATTAATTTAAAGAAATGTTCACTCGATGTTTATTTACCCATATTTTGCGGCTTTTTGACTATCAATTTTCACCGTTTGGAGATAAATAGCTTTAAATGTAAGTTTACTTTCACAAAAAAAATAAAATTTTAATCTTTTACTTTGGTGCGTCCTCATTTTAGACTGGACGTTTTCAAATTAATTTCCCAATCAATATTTGAGGCAAAATGGCGAGAGGGTACATTAGTTTTGATAAGACATACAAACTAACAGACTAACAGAGATTACTATTTTATATAAATGGTTGATTCAAGATCTATGTTGCTTTTGATGTTTTTAAACACCCCAGATCTATCTTTCATGCGTATTGTAAGCTGTACACCGAAATGATGAAAATGATGAAAATGATGAAAATGATGAAAATGATGAAAATGGATGGGATGGATGAAATGGACGAAAATGATAAAAATGATGAAAATGATGAAAATGATGAAAATGATGAAATGGATGAAATGGATGAAATGGGTGAAATGGATGAAATGGATGAAATGGATGAAATGGATGAAATGGATGAAATGGATGAAAATGATGAAAATGATGAAAATGATGAAAATGATGAAAATGATGAAAATTACGAAAATTACGAAAATTATGAAAATTATGAAAATTATGAAATGACGAAAATGAAGAAAATTTTGAAAATGATGAATATGATAATGACAATGTTGACAATGATGACAATGATGAAAATTATGAAAATGATGACAATTCGACGATGATGATAATAGAATGATAATGTTGACATCAAGATCATGTATAATTATGCTAATACTAATAATGGTAATTGACCAACATTTAAAACACTTGACGCAGGCTTTTAAGATATAAGTTGTATTTTTAGATTATCATCTAGGTTTGGTTGAAATTATTAGGACAAGTCAGTTACGCTACATGATTGACTCAATCCTAGAGAAAGATTTTTGGACCCTGCCCCCCCCCTTCATTTGAAAAAGTACAGTAAATTTGTATTATTTACACTTTATGGGCCGAGCGCTGCAGTTAGGATAGCTTATGGGCCTGAACGCCGCGGCTAGGATAGGCTAGGGAAAATAAATGTTCCAACATCTCATGTATATCTTATCTTATGTATATTTTTATGAAGGGGGGCCGGGGGGTCGACAAATTCTTCTCTAGGAAACTAATGCATGATTGTATGTTTTACCTGATACAGCGGATAAGACCAGTAGCTTGGTTATATTGTAAAGCAAGGGATTAGCAGATAAACCAACAATATTGTAGGGTTTCTCTAGTTCCTAATAACAGTGCTCAGTAGTACTATAGAAAAATAATAATAAAGGCAAATGTGTAGGGGTAATGTAGTTAGGGATAGAGATGGGGGCATTCCTTTATTTTTTATTTCGTTCGTGCGTGAACGGCAAGTTTTTTATCAATCGTTAAATGAAAAATAATTTCGTTTGTTCTCAAAATTATTGTTAATTTTCCATCTATTACGTTCGTTTTCTTAGTGAACAATCGTTAGATGAAATAATTTGTTCCAAAAAATCTTTCGTACAGTAAAAATAATCGTTTTTGTCAAAATCTTTTGGAAAATTTGTTCGTTCAGTAAAAAAACAGACTGTTTTTCATCGAAAGCTTATTTGAACAAACTTTAATCATCCGTGTTCACTTATTTTTCGTTTGTTATTTAAAAAAACAATAGTTTTTGCATTTCTTTGAACGATCCAAACACTTGTCCATAGTTCGTTCGACCATGCATAATAATTCCACTAAATAGTGTCACACAAATAATTACCTTGAGTAGGTCTCCTGAAAGTTTGAGTACATTATTTGCAAGAGTTAGCTGTTCCTTCTGTACAGTAGTTAATTTAGTTAACTTTATCAAAGCTTGTAATAAATATCGGGTAAACATGGTATTCTGTAAACATGAAGTATGAAAACTTCTATGTAAAAACCATTATTTATTTGAACTGCGCTTCAAATGAATATGCAGCATGATTATCTTAATCATGTGATATATAATGATGTATATCGTAATTGCGTCTATTTTTAGTGTACTGTATACGTACAAGATTGTCTAAATCATGTGATATAGATAATGACATAGGAATTGTAATTACGTCTAATCGCACCCAGTGGTAGTGGCGTTGATAGATCACGGGATTGTAGCCGTGTGGATTGTGTCCTGGTTGAGGCATTGATAATTAAATTGCTAGTGTTTGTGTTGACACCGATAGCTTATGAGATCGCGCCCAGTGGTAGTGGCGTTGATAGTTCACGGGATTGTAGCCATGTGGATCGTGTCCTGGTTGAGGCATTGATCAATAAATTGCTAGTGTTTGTGTTGAGATAGATAACTAACAAGATCGCACCCAGTGGTTGTGGTGCTGATAGTTCACGGGATTGTTGCCGTGTGGACCGTGTCCTGGTTGAGGCATTGATCAACTAAATGCTAGTGTTTGTGTTGAGATGGATAGATAACAAGATCGCATAGCATTGATCAATTACTTGCTAGTGTTTGTGTTGATATCGATAGCTAACTAGATTTCACCCAGTGTCTTACAGGTATTGTTTAACTCCTGAGATTCTCAGGTTTCAGCCTATACTTCCTTTCATCTTTCCTTTACAGTCCCTTTAATATATAAGCACAAATGTGGGTTGTTATTAGCTAAATAAAATTACAAGAAGACCCATTTATAAAATTAATTATAAAAGAAACTAAATTTCCCTTTTCAGGTTTCTCCTCCATCCGTAGATACAAGTTTATCTGTTCTGTGAGCAGTACACTAGGGTTCCAGTACTTCTGGTTTATTTTACTTGAGAGGGTCATGTATCGGATGAGAAAACAACCGATAAACAAGCTGCAGCAGATCACCTAAAAGATGAGGTCAACGCTGGAAACTCTTGTATCGTAGATAAAGAGATCAATGCGTGATCTCCTCTTTAAGTTAATCTACAGATTAATTTAATATTTATGTGTTATCAAAACAATTGTCAAACCAATCAGTTTAGTTTGCATAATCCGATCAGCTAATCAGAAGCCTAGAAATTTGCACACAACCAATGAGAGAACTCTTATTAGTTCGAACCCAGATGGATATACAAATAAGAGGATTAAGCAAATCATAAGTGTTCACATAGGATTTAAGCGATCGAGAGTAATGGTATCCAACAAACAAAAGTTTCCAGCTCCGGATTAATACAATTAAATGAATACTACAAACCTTCTTGAAAACTATTTTTTCCCTTTTACCATAATTTGATTTTGATGTATTTTACACTCATTATAATAAAACTATATTAAGAAACATATCATGATCCTACCTCTGTGTTCCTACGGTTAAACTCTGGATTGACATCTTCATCCTTCAGCAGCTCATAGCATAGGAAAAGAACATTTCCCAGGGTTATCATAAACGCCGCACTACAATATTTAAGTTATTTCTATAGTTACACCAATGACCCCTATTTCATGACTATCTAGTTCCACCAATGACTCCTATTACCTAACTATCTAGTTAAGCCAATGACCCCTATTACCTGACTGCCTAGTTGCACTTATGATCCCTATTACCTGACTGCCTGGTTGCACCAATGACCCCTATTACCTGACTATCTAGTTGCACCAATGACCCCTATTACCTGACTATCTAGTTCCACCTATGATCCCTATTTTCTGACTATCTAGTTGCACCAATGACTCCTATTACCTGACTATCTAGTTGCACCAATGACCCCTATTACCTGACAATAAGATCGATACTCCTCTTAGGACCCCTCTTCCGTAGAAAGGATCTCACACATAACCAGGTTTTTATATTCCTAAAGACAGTATCATTTAATTTTTTCATTTACGTTTAACAATGGTCCCCTTAAAATCTTTATCTGATAAAGATTGAAATTTAGTTATTTACAGTTCTATGCTTAATTGTCATAAATGATCGCTTTTCAATCTAGAAAAAATACGATATCTCCTACATTCTTGTTTAAATAAAGGTAGGGTACCTTTGTGACTTGGACATGCCCCTCTATATGAATGGAGCGTCACCTAAATTTACAATGACAGTCTCTTTAATTCCCTAATTAATGTGTACTTGTAGCTACGTATACTTTATATAATCAGTATACCCAAACCGTTTCTTGTAGTACTTCTGGAGAAATGTGCTTGAAAAGTTAAATGTTTAAAGAAAAGAATTTTCTTTCTTTTTATTTATGATTTATTAGGATCTTGAAACTTTTATCTGCAAAGGCGGACAACTTTTGACAGGAAGAACTTAAATATAAAAGTTTTAGCTGAAAAAAATACTAAATGACGAAATCTTACAATAATTTTAAATAATAGATGATTCCCAAATGTTGGGGGAGATATTTTTTATATAGAGTGTCCCAGCAAACATGATAATTAATTAAAGGGACTGTAAACATAATTTCAAATAACCTCCGGTTTTAGAATAGCATATGTTACTAAAAGATCCTTTAAACCAGTGCTTATTAGGATCTATTTAATTTTGATGCGGATCCTGGATTGATCGATTGATATAAAAATCTTTCATTTGGTAAAAAAAACTATCGTTTTTTAAATTTAGTTTTAAAAAATCCTCATGGTTCAAGTTATAAAACTATAGTTTTTTCTCTCAACATTTTTCGGAAAATTCGTTTTTTTTCAGTAAAAAATCTACCCTTTTTTTCAAGATCGTTCTTTCGTTTTTTTTTCATTAGCTTAAAGCTGGATACAGGTCCATTTTTTAGAATCCACAATTAGAATCGGCATCAAATTGGATATACGTGAAGGTTTTTCTATGTCCTTGAAATTTAATGAATTCAATTCATTTATCAAAGAGCTAAATTCCGGAATATTTAAATACACTCAAGATGGATTAGGGATTCCTCGAAATGAACATAATTTTTCTGCAAAGTTTGCGCAATTTTCGCACAAATATTTTTTTTAGCGAACTTTTGCGCATTTTTTGGGCATGAAGCCCAATAAATTTTGCGCGTTATTGCGCATTTTTTTGCTTTCGTTTGCGTTAAACCGAAAATTGATCAAAATTGACAGTTTCAGCACAGAATCAAACAACTGAAGGTTTATTAAAAGATTTACATAGAAATTAATGATGATTTTGCTGCTCTCAATTGGTTACTTTTAGTTACAAAATCTTCAAATTGAGGGACAAAAAATAATAAAACAAAAATTAGAAATCTTTTGAATCTTTGATTGCACAAAATGCTATTTTTTCGCGCAAAGGCGCAACAAAAGCAAAAATTTGCACTTTCTTTTGCAAAAATTGCGCAAAAGTTTTGCGAATGGAATTGACCACTTTGTACCGAATGGAAAATTCTAAAAATCTAAATTTAAAAATAAGTTACCTAACTTTGTAAAGACGAAAATGCGGTATTCTAGATTTCATCGATCTAAAAAAAATATTATAGGGTGCATTGTGTACACTGTACAGTGTACACTGTAGTTGTTTTGTAAACATATATATATATATTTTTTGTTTCTTGGACAGTACTCTCTTTATATCATTTTACCCTATATTTGTACAGCTTTATTTATTCTGAATTTGTTTATTGTTTTAGTTTTACAACATGACTATTGTGATTAATAATTTTTAATGTGCTCTCCATTTTACAGAAATTCATTAGCCATCTAATGATGTTGTAGTATTGCAACGAAATATATTATGAAGAAAATGGCAGTTGTTTAAAACCAAGAGTAAAAAGTTGGGTTGGAGACAGAATAATCATGAAATCATTGATAAAAAAAATATTTGCAGAAAAGACGGGGGGAGTTTAAAGTCTTAAATGGACAAAAATGGAAAATGACAACTAAGTTATTAAGTCCTTTATTTACTACTTTTTACAGAAAAAAAAACAATTTTGCTTTTAAGCTAGGGACCATATTTAAAAAATACTTAGAAGCCCCCACCCCACCCCAAAGAATATTAAACAAAAACTAAAATTGGTTTTTCTCACTTTCAAATCAATTCAGCTTTTGTAAATAATTATTCACCAGTGCGAAAATATATATTTCTTAAATATGTTATTCCATATTTTTGGTACTCTCACACCATAAAAATGTCTGCGTAAATCAGTTCTAAAGGGTTTGAGTCTAAGGTTCACTGAGTTAGAGGACAGTCGTGTTTAAAGTCCTTGGTTTTCAGAATATCTCTGAAACCAATGGTTTTTCGGAACCTGGTCTTTACCATTCAGAATTTTTCATGTTTTGGATTACATCTCCCCTCTGCCTGCACTCCTCCAGGCTGGTCATCTTGACCTCCTTTAATTTCTCTTCAAATGAGTTCCCTTAGACCAGACGTCATTTTTATTGCTCTTTTCTGAACATCCTCCAACACTTTTATATCTTTGGCAATCCATGGTGTCCACGCTTGCACACAATATTCTAAAATAGGTCCAACATAGCCATTGTAAAGATTTCATCAGACTCTCTTGTCCCTTGTAGGAACAAGCCATCCTTCCAGGCACTGAGTTGGCCTTTTTAGCTGCTGCTTGACATAGTAGGGCAGGCTTGGGATCTGTGCTTATTATGACACCAAGATCTTTCTCCAGAGCTGGTTTTTCAAAAATTGAACCTGCAGGAGTATACCGTCCCATATGGTGTTATGTGTTCCAGTATTTTGTCTTACAAAGTAGAGTACTTCACATGTGTCCCCATTGTACAGCATCTGCCACAAGTCTGCCCACTCTACAAATTTATCTACAACATGTTGCATATTCATCACATCATTTTCAGTGTCAACCATGCACCCAATCTTTGTGTCATCAGCAAACTTGGATAATAATTTTACATTATCTTTCACAGTGAGATCAAATAAGTTGATGAATAAGATAAAAAGACTGGGCCCCAGGACTGAACCCTGGGGAACCCCTGAAGTAACTGGTAACCAATCTGAGATTTCTCCACTGATAACAACTCTTTGTTGTCTCCCTGTAAGCCAGGCCTGTACCCAATTCAGAAGATTTTCTTGTATGCCATGAACTTTTAGAGTAGTTATTAATCCTTGATTAAGGACTTTATCAAAGGCCTTTGCAAAATCAAGGTAAATCACATCTACTGTGCAGTGTTACTTGGCGCAACTTTAGATACCCAAATCAACATATTTTGAAAAATTAAAAAATCACCTTTCTTATTAATTTATGAATTTTAAAAAAATCAGATTGTTTTTTATAAGTTTGAATAAGAATTTGTGCTGAGTGTTGGTAATTTTTTAAACAAATTCATATTGTCCCAAGTTATGTCTCGCAATTCAATAAATCAAGTCCCTGCAGGATATCTAATCTAATTGTTTGAGTGTGTTTGCAATAAACGTAAAAAATGAAAATGTCAAAAGTCTTTTAAGTTCTTTAATAATTTAATATGAACGGAATTATTTACCTTCTAGTTGATGTAATCTGAGAGAAGAGTTTGGCAATCTGAAACCTGAACAACAAAACACACAAATAAAAAAACAATTCTCTAAAAGTTTGCTTTATTACATCTTGTAAGGTAGATAATAAAACCATAAACGCTATTTCAGATTTTAATTTCCAAACGATTGGTTTAGCTTAAAGGGAAAGACCGGCCATGTAACATATTTGCACTGAGAATGCAGTATTGTAGAGAAAAAGTGTAGGATTCATTTAATACCTTTTGACATTTTTACGGTGTACAAATTTTCACCTATTGTTTCAGTCAGCAGAAGAAAGTTTTTACAATAATATGGACAAAAGATGTAATAATTACTATTCAATTAACAAGTTGAATATATATAAACACCGAAAAAGTTGAGAAAAAAAATTTATCATTAAAAATAAATAACTAAAATTCATTGTAAAATCTCGCAGGTTTATGTAAATTCTTCCAGCTGCGCTAGGGTCGCTTGTTGGAGAATTTCCTTATTTCAATTGTGAAGACAATATTTTGCAGAAATCTGATAATAAAATTATAGAGACAGCAAAGGTTAGGTAATGATAATAAAATAATTGATTCTATGTTTCTACTATGCATGGCTTTCACCGATAATTTCTTTTAAGCATTATGCTCCTAAATTGGTCAATAAAATATTTTTTTTCACAATTTTTCAATTTATTAGTGTAAAAACGTTTCTTCTACTGACTAAAAATAACTATTAAAATATTACAAACGACTAAAAATTGTACACCGTAAAAATGTAACATTGGTATCAAATCAATCTACAAAATTGCACTTTCAGCTCAACTACCATGTCTAGAAAGTCTCTCCCTTTAAAGGGACTTGACGCGTTATTTGTAGTGACCCTTTATGCAAAGATGCCAATGCCCGATTCACAATGGTACCCTTAAATAATTTGAATAAAATAAAGTAATGAATTAGATATCAATGCTGATCATTTTAAAAACTGATATTTTTAATTGTGATATCTCTAGAAAATTAATTTCAGAGAGGAAAACATAGAGGAATTATCAAAATAATTAGAAGATTTCAAGGATAACGTTATACTATGGATAATAGCATGGAGGGTCACTTGAAATTACGTCTACAGTTCCTTAAATATACTCTGTTAGGGTCAGCACTGTGAAGAATGCAATCTAAGCAACATGTTTATAGTAACAATTTGAAATATGTTAGACTTCAAAGCAAAACCCCTTAAAAATATTTAATTTGATAACTTTCCCCAGAATATCAAATCATAGATGGATTGATAAACACAGCTGATAAAATAAATAGTTAAACTAGTTTAAAGATGCAAAAAATTCTTTTTAAAGAATTAAAACACATAGATAATTCTTATATTCCTTGCACAAATAAAAACTATGTACTAATACTAATTAGTCAAGAAATAAGAATTCATTTAACTATTTTGAAATTTGATGTTAAAGACCAAAATACCGAACTCATGGCAAGTAGGCTTTTTAACGTGACACCGTATGAAATAAGATTCGATGAGAAATGAATAAATCCTGGATACATCTTTTATACTTGCCTTCTTCTAAATGCCTTCTCTGTGACTGCTAGTAGAAAAAAGAAAGCTGACCATAGCAGTATACGAATACAAACTAGAGACCAACCCAGAATATTTTAGAATCAATAAAGTTTATTAAAGTCAAAATATTATAAAAAAGAAAAATCAAATCTGAAACAACATAGAATTCTTTGAAGCCAAATAAAACAAAATTTTTGACAGATATTTTTTGCAAAATCAGTTTTGCAGAGAGTAATTGAGGTAAAAGATAAGATAAGGGAAGAGGGGAGGGTAAATAAACTTTTTCCTTGTGAGGGAAGGAGGCGAGGTAATAATTCAAATTTAATACTTTCGAACTAGGGATGTCAAAAAAAACATTGAACAAATTGTTTCTTGAAATCCTATTTTCAAGTATACCAGGCTCTCCTGCCTAGATTAAGCAAAATGATGGCCTTAAAGCTGGGATGACGAAGAATAGAGTTCATGGATACTTCAACATCCAAACTAGAATAAGTTTCAAAAATTGAAGAATTAAAAATATTCAAACGAACTGATTCAAATCAAATCAAATCATGCTGTAAGGAGTCTTACTATCCAGTATCAACTCGAAATTAATTCACTATGTTCAAGAATGAAGTGAGATGTTAAAGCTAGATTACTTAATTTAATTTTGATGCGGATCCGGATCATACATAAAAATGTCTCCGGATCCGGGTCATGAAAAATTCTTTAAGATTTACTGAATTGTAAGCACTGGATACTGGGATTGGAAAATTAGAGTTTAAGGCGAATAATCAGTTTGTTTAAACTTCAGCAGGTTTAGTTTGTGGGTTGTAAAAACTTCACTGTTTTAAACAAAACATCACGTAATAGATATTACAAATATACATCATAATATATTAAAAACATACATCATAATGTATTAAAAATATACATCATAATGTATTATAAATATGCATCATAATGTATTAAAAATATACATAATAATGTATTCAAAATATGCATCATAATGTATTAAAAATATACATCATAATGTATTTAAAATATGCATCATAATGTATTAAAAACATGCATCATAATGTATTAAAAATATGCATCATAATGTATTAAAAAAATGCATCATAATGTATTTAAAATATGCATCATAATGTATTTAAAACATACATCATAATGTACTAAAAATATGCATCATAATGTATTTAAAACATACATCATAATGTATAAAAAATAAAATAAAATAAAAAGATAATGAAAAATTAGAGCATCACCTGTAAGGTAAATAAATGATCTGAATTAAGGATTCAAAACACACTTCATCCTAAATAATTAAATATTTTAGAGCCTTCTTCATTAAAAAAGTGCTTCAAAAAAGAAAAGTTCTCGTCCGTCCAAAATAACAATTAATATATTTTTAGAAAGACCTTCTATAATGATAAATAATCTGCATTTTTTGTCTTCAAAAATCCATAAAGGAATCGAGAATTTGTCACAAACTCTAATTTTCTAATTCCTATAGCTCTGCAACCCGATGTCGTAAACCTTTGATATTTCAAACTATACATTTTGTTAGATCAAATAGTCTAAGTTTAAAATTTCAAAGGTTTACAACATTTGGTTGCAAATTAGAAAATATGGGGTTGTGGCAAAAACTCAATTCCTTTATCACTAAATCCAGTAATTTAGCAAAATAAGTGCAAAAACAAAAAATATGGCCAATCATACAATTTTACAAGGCCCTTGACTTAAAAATAAGAATATCCAAAAAATTTGCAAAGTGTACGTTTTAAGAAAAATTGAAAACTCCCTTTTAAGACTTTTCCATAATATTGTGCAAAAATTCTGCAATTAGTTTTCTTTTGTCATAGGCTTTCCAAACAGCTTTAAAATGTTTAATTAAACCTGGAAGTAGGTCTAAATGTGATAATCAACTTAAGGATTAATAATTGATGTAAAACAAAGATACCACAGTTAATCCTTCTCTTTTCTAGACACCCTGTATATATGTATAAATGTATAAATATAATATTAATATAATATATATTATTTAACTTTTAAAACAGCATACATGCCTATTGTCTAACCTGAAAAGTTTTAATGATCGAAGAAAGCTGGAAAATGGCGGGAAGTGCTCCGATTACCACAGCAAAGGCTACTCCGGCCCCGGCGTAAATATTTGAATCGGATCGCTCACGTGACCTCTCAAAAATGGCGGATCCAATCTCTAAGGCAGATAAACGTATTTTGGACGGTTCTTCTTTATTCCAGACAGTACATCCTGAACAACAAACATTTGTTCTTGCTTTTATAGCTAAATTGATATTTTTCATGTTAATTTAGTTTTAACTTGATAAAAGTAGCTAAAACGAATCAAATTTGAAAAGGTACACCTTGAACTAGTTTGGGAACCCAGTTTGGTCTGAAAAATTAACTTTTACTATAAATGTCAACCTCCTCAACTAAGCTAAGTGGTTCTACCGAGTTCCCCAATCAAAATTTGAGGCAAATCGGCTGAGGGGTTTATGAGTTATAATCGGACATACAAAACAAACAAACAGAGATTACAACCTTTAAAATATAGATTATGCCTGGCGCCTGCCTGTTCACAAGAATGTAGAGAATTTAATTAAATTACTATGATAATCCGAAATGGGATGGAGGAGATGTCCTGTTTGGTGAGGGGGAGTTGGTCCCCTGCCTTCATTGTTGGTTCAAATCTTCCAATTTTTTGGCTGCACGCCTAATTAATGTTCAAAATTTCTAAAATAAAATTGAATTGAATTTTAATGACCTCTAATGACCTCAACAAATAGAAAATGTTTCAACTATGGCTTTATGCATATCAAACGAAAGCTAGGGACCCAGGAAATACAGTTGCAGCACCAAATCCAGTGTTCCTAGCTTGTGTTTGATATACATAAAGCCATAGTTAAAACATTTTCATTTTTGAGGTCATCTTAGGTGATTAGAGGTCATTAGAGGGTCAAACACTAGATTTGTTGCTGCTACTGAATTCCCTGGGTTCCTAGCTTTTGTTTGATATGCATAAAGCCATAGTTAAAACATTTTCATTTTGGAGGTCATTTTAGGTCATTAGAGGTTGAGAGGTCATTGGAGAGTCAAACACTAGATTCGTTGCTGCTACTGTAGTCTCTGGGTTCCTAGCTTTTGCTTGATACGCATAAAGCCATAATTAAAACATTCTCATTTTGGAGGCCATTTTAGGTCATTAGAGGTCATTTGAGGGTCAAACACTAGATTTGTTGCTGCTACTGTATTTCCTGGGTTTATAGCTTTCGTTTGATATGCATAAAGCCATAGTTGAAAAATGTTCAATTTGTTGAGGTCTTTAGAGGTCATTAAAGGTCATTAAAATTCAATTCAATTTTATTTTAGGAAATTCGAACACTTACTAGGCGTGCAGCCAAAAAATTGGAAGATTTGAACCAAAAATGAAGGCAGGGACCCCTCATCAAACAGGACATATATTGGAATTCTGAAATCCTTCTCTCCCTCTCGAGTCTTAACAAGAATTTTAACTTATCAAAAAAAAACGTAATTTACAAATTTTTAGATTGAGGAAAATAATTTAGTTTGAAAGATGACCCTATTTTAACTCCAACTCCAATTCTAATTTCTCTCTTTCTAAACACTTCAATCTATTTTACAGGAATTTTGCTCTCAATAAACTTATGAAAGTTCCAGTCACGTTTTTGTCATTTAGGCTTTAGACGAAATTAACCATTAATCCTGAAAAAAAAACTTGCTGGATCAAGATAAAATGTTTTCATATGCAAAGAAACTAAGAATTTATTTCACGAATATAATTTTTTAACATTTATTCTTACGTTCCGCGCGAGTTTCTTTTAAATTCTGTTACGGAAAAAGTTTTGAACTTCTAAAAATGTCAGATAAATTGACAGAAAATTATATTTTTAAACTTTGTGTGTCTCAAAAAAAAAATCAATTTAAAGACTATTCTTCTATTTTTGAAAGTTTGTGAATGGCAGAGGGTGTATCAATTACATATTGTACGTATTTCGAACTTTGCAATGTTGCATTTCATAAAATAATTTTTTTTAAACGCATAATTTATCGCGGATTTTTCAGTTTTCATACGGCTGTTTTCCAAAAACCGTTTTATATGAAACTCTTGAAGACCAAATCAAATTCTAATCCGCCATAAACTTATCTTAATTAATACAAACTGCAAAAAAAAGTTAATAAAGTTAAACACATCGATTGAGTCGTTTAAACGTTCATTGAATAACAACTGACAAGCAAAGAAATGTTATACTATATATATAACGTTGAACTTTATCACATTCCAGATACAACAATATGTTTTTTATTCATTTTCACGGAATTTATCACACCTAACATTTCCTGTTGTAGGGCGATTAATTGATTTTATCACCCTATAACAGGGCTGCTATTGAATAAGTTGAGTAAAATTAAATAAAACTATACAGTATACACGTTTGTTATGGGTATCACGTATGCGAAAAAAGCTTTTGCTCGGATTTTTCGCACTTCATAATACCCATTACAATGACATAAATAGCTAATATTATTTCTGAACCTAATTACAATTATATAAACTAGGAACTCGGCAATTAGGACTGGGCGTCTTCCTATTTTTTTAAATCATTCCGTTTAGTTCCCGTGAAAGAATTATCGTTCCCCAGGAACGACGCCCAGCTCTAACTGTAATGTAAACTGTAATTTCCTAGAAAAAGTTTAAAGTTTTATAAATTAATTTAAGTTTCGTGAAACTGAACCTTGTTAAGGACTTAATAAAACTTTTATATATTTTCTTATTGAAGCTAAAATATGAAGATGTCCATAGGGATTCATCAGATACTTTACTAACGTAAAAAGTTTTCAATTATTAATAAGAGAATTTCGACTTTTAACTCTCTCAGGTTTTGAATTATCGATACCTCTGAAACCGTTTATCTATAATCTATAAATATAATTTGCTTGTCTGTTTGTTTGTATCCAATAAACGTAACTGGGCCGGCTAAACCGATCGGGCCAGAATTGTGTGTGAGACCTCACATGAGACCTGGGAAGGTTTATGATGGTTGATCAGAATTACAAAAAATTGTCTCCAGAATTTTTTGATTTCGTATTTTTAAATCCGCAAAAATGTTAATTGTTGTTTTCTGGAAGAGTAAATTAAAAGTTGATAGCCTAGTTTATGAATTTTACTATTCGGAAGAAAAAATACCTGATATTTGATTCAACCTTTAAACCATTTCAAGTGACTCGGAAGTGATGTTCAACCTTTTAAATGACTCGGAAGTAACGTTTAACCTTTCAAGCGACTCGGAAGTAATGTTCAATCTTTTAAATGACTAGGAAGTGATGTTCAACCTTTTAAATGATTTGGAAGTAACGTTTAACCTTTCAAGCGACTCGGAAGTAATGTTCAATCTTTTAAATGACTAGGAAGTGATGTTCAACCTTTTAATCGGAATTAACGTTCAACCTTTCAAGTGACTCGGAAGTAATGTTCAATCTTTTAAATGATTTGGAAGTAACGTTTAACCTTTCAAGCGACTCGGAAGTAATGTTCAATCTTTTAAATGACTAGGAAGTGATGTTCAACCTTTTAAGTGACTCGGAATTAACGTTCAACCTTTCAAGTGACTCGGAAGTAATGTTCAATCTTTTAAATGACTCGGAAGTGATGTTCAACCTTTTAAGTGACTTAGAAGTAATGTTCAATCTTTCAAGTGACTCGGAAGTGATGTTCAACCTTTCAAGTGACTCGGAAGCAATGTTCAACCTTTTAAATGACTCGGAAGTGATGTTCAATCTTTCATGTGACTCGGAAGTAATGTTCAATCTTTCAAGTGACTCGGAAGTGATGTTCAACCTTTTAAATGACTCGGAATTCATAAAAAATTCTTTTAAATAATAAAGAAGGGAGGCAGTGGCGCAGATAAGGGGGGTTATTGGGGTTATTCACCCCCCACATAGAATGCTGAGGGTAAATACCCCACGAATGTGTTATGGAAATGTTATTTTACACGCTCCTTGTCGTTTATATTCGAATGTGTTATGGAAATGTTATTTTACACGCTCCTTGTCGTTTATATTCGAATGTGTTATGGAAATGTTATTTTACACGCTCCTTGTCGAATATTTATTCGAATGTGTTATGGAAATGTTATTTTACACGCTCCTTGTCGAATATCTATCCGTATGTTTTATGGAAATGTTATTTTACACGCTCCTTGTCGAATATCTATTCGAATGTGTTATGGAAATGTTATTTTACATGCTCCTTGTCGAATATCTATTCTAATGTGTTATGGAAATGTTATTTTACATGCTCCTTGTCGAATATCTATTCGAATGTGTTATGGAAATGTTATTTTACACGCTCCTTGTTGAATATCTATTCGAATGTGTTATGGAAATGTTATTTTACACGCTCCTTGTCGAATGTGTATCCGAATGTGTTATGGAAATGTTATTTTACACGCTCCTTGTCGAATATCTATTTGAATGTGTTATGGAAATGTTATTTTACACGCTCCTTGTCGAATATCTATTCGAATGTGTTATGGAAACGTTATTTTACATTCTCCTTGTCGAATATCTATTCGAATGTGCTATGGAAATGTTATTTTACATGCTCCTTGTCGAATGTCTATTCGAATGTGTTATGTAAATGTCCTAACGTTGTAAGAAAAAGCTTTAAATTATGATTTTTTAAAATTTTTTTCTCGTTTTTACGTGTCACTCATTTATTTTAAAATTGACTTTATAAGAGTTTAACAGACACGTTTAGTAAATACATATATACACTCATTGCATTTTAAAAAAAATAGTTTTCTTTCGTCAGTTAAAAACAAAAATGGAACCACTGAAGAGCTAAAAATATAGAATTTATCAAAAAGAAAAAGATTGTGAGTATATAATTTTAAATTTTACCGAGAGTAATTGACTTTCCTTTGTAAAGAGCTGGGTATATTGTTCTGCATAGTTGTTATATTATAAATTAAAGATTAAAGGATAAAATATATTAAAAAATGTATTGAAAAATATATTTAAAAATATATTAAGAAATATATTAAAAAATATATTAAAAAATATATATTAAAATATATATTAAAAAATATATTAAAGGAAATAATGTTACATACCAAAAATAACACCTTTTTATATCAAATAAAACTTAAACCAAACAAAAAGTAAGAAATAATAAAATAAAATCACGCAAATCGCCCCCTTGATAAAAGTAAATTCAACCTATATGAAGCATAAAGCCTGACCGCGTCAACCTTGTTGCACCGGCTAGTCCTGTCCAGTGTCCAAAGAGTTATGTACAGTACAAACTGGGACCATAAAGATTGACCCGGCTCGGGAATTCAAATGTACTGCCAGTGAAATGAAAGGAATAGAATTGGTGCTAAGGATCCGGATCCGGATTGGATTTGAAACATTTTAGCTTGCTGAAGACGGAGACGGACAATTATGCGGTATCATGGATGCGTATTGCGTATTTAGAAGCAAAACTTAGACCAAAAAAGAAGATAAACCCCACTTTTTTAGTATCAACCAATGAGACACCATTAAAACCTGCATACGTGTATAAACTCTACACTCTACAGTGTAAATAAAGTTTCTGCATTAAAAAAAAAAAGTTTGCAAATTAGTTCTTGGTACGACAAATTAAAAAGACATTAAATAAATATTTATACGCTAGATTCGGATCCGGGGTGCATTTCTTAACAAGACAAATCCAGGATTGGGATCCGTAACAAAATAAAATGGATACAAGAACATGAATACAATACTAAATAAAATTAAAAAATTAATATAATGAAAATTAAACAAATCATTATTTGTAGATTTAAAATATCATCATTGAACAGTTCAATTTAATTCAACTTAATTTAATTCAACCCTTACCTGGGTTTTATTGGAAAAGGTTCACTTTCACTGAAATTTAAAAATATTCAAATAAACTGTCACGCTTTTATCTTTAAAATAAACAGATTTTTTATCATTATTTAGATAATATTATTTTTCATATTTTATATTCCTGAGTAAGCTTTCCTGGTCAGTTTCTGGTTCCGAGGTAAATTCCCGGAACTTGGGCGCATCTAAGATAAAACATCAGTAAATTCCGGGAACTTGGGCGCATCTAAGATAAAACATTAGTAAATTCTAATTGTTACAATCACCCTACAGCTTGCAGGTTGTACAAAAGGCGCTTCTAAGATATAAGATTTAAGTAAACCTGTATATAAAAATGGAAGTATACCTCTAGGCTGTATATAAACATGGAAGTATACCTGTATCAATACAAGGAAGTATTATCAATACAATTAAGTATATAAGGAAGTATACCTGTATCCAAAGCACTAAGGTTCCCTTCGTCAGCACTTTCATCAGATAATATATTCTTTCTTTCTAAATTACAACAGTGATAATAGTAATAATCCTTTTCCAAGAAAAGCTTTTCTACGCCACTTGTCATGTGTTTATCACGTAACTGACTGGACATGCACTGTATAAAAATATTACCTGTATAAATCGCTAGGGGTTTTGAGGGAATTAAGTTTCCCAAACTTTGAGGCATTGGAGAATTTTGTCGTCCAGTCTTCATAGGTGACCAGGGGCATGTATTAGTGCTTGATGTCTGGAAATATATAAAATATGTGCATTGTGCATGCTTAAAAAATAAAGAATGAAAAAAACTGCGTTTCACCATAAATCGTAAATATCTTTTAAAATCTCAATCCTGTATCAAAGAAATATAAAATCTTTTTTAAATTCTGTGAATAAATTTATTTCGTGATCTGAAAGATTAAACTTGAGAAAAACCTTATTCACTTTAAAACAAATTTAGCATGAATAAGTGGTTTCTTTAAAGGGATGGATTTATATTTACTATAAAATATTTATTTTTATTCCAAGGATTTTTAGAAGGCCCCACCACCCTTGAATGAGAATCGTTTTAGAAATATCATTAGCCTTGCCAACATTAAAAAAAGTTTCAATCATGAAATCATGTATACAAATATAAGTATGCAAAGCATACAAATATAAGTAAACAATGTATACAAATATAAGTATGCAAAGTATACAAATATAGCTGGCCAAACGGCTAAAAAACGATATTTTCTACATTCCAAGGGCAAATAAATAATTGTATTATACATAAACATACTATATATCTATATATAAATTTGGCTTGTCTGTTTGTTTGTATCCAATAAACGTCAAAACGGCTGAACCGATTGGGCCCAAATTTTTTGTGGGACATCACGTGATCACAGGGAAGGTTTATGAATGATAAAAATATAAAAGCCTAGTATTGTTAAAAAGTACTAAAAAAAAAATATATATATATATACTTCAGCTAGTAAAATTTAAAATAAAAAAAGCAAATAAAAAGTAAAAAGTATCTTATGAAAGCTTTTCTTCGAATTTTTTTTTGCTTAAATCTTTTTATTTTTTTTTAGAGAAACTCTTTTGTGTGTGATGTCAAAGTTATCAATAAGATAAGTGAAGGATCTGAAAACCTTTTTGAAAAGTGCTAAATCCGATAATTTCAATATGTGTTCCTTAAGTAGAAAAAAGAAAAAGTAACTTTTGTGGAGAGGTCAGAGTTAAAACTAAATAGTTTCTAGATCGTTAAACATTTTTAATAATCTATAATTAATCAGACAAAACATTTGAGGGTAGAGTTGTGATTTGGGCATTTCCATGTTTGCGTGGAGGTCCGATGAAATTTTGCCAACAGTTCCTTTAAGCTTTGATTTAATCAAAGCCACGTTTAAAGTTAAAATTCACCTTGAGTGGTTTCTCTGATGTTGGTTTAATCAACTCACACTCAGACTCCGGCCATGGAAACAGTTTCTCTGGGCTAGAGGAGTTCAGGAGCTCACCCCCTCGCATACTCTTGTCTATACTAGGAGCCCTAGATAATATATATACTAGAGTTCAGGAGCTCACCCCTTGTATACTCTTGTCTTTACTAGGAGCCATAGATAAAATTAAAAAACTAATTCAGTCACAGAAAAGTTAACTGATCTCAAATCAAGTTAACTTAAATAATCTATATATTTTCCCTAATTGGACGATAAAATAAGAATACCTTAAAACATTCCTTACATTTGGGAGAATTAAATAAAATTAATTAAATTTAAATTATTAAAACTAAATATATAGAAGGGGGAGGGGGGAATTTTGCTCTTGTTTCTTATCGAAATTAAAATAAATGGAACTTTGACCAATTCCCAATGTTTTATTTAAAAAGAGATTGGTTTGTCCTCCCCCGAGAGTAAAATAAGTTTACTTAGTTTCAAACTCCGGTAAAAGAAATACCATAGATTAAATTTAAGTGAGAAGTTAGAGAAACACTCTACAAGTCAAAGAATAAACTGAAAAGAGGAAAATATAAAATCTATATATATAAACAGTGATAAATGAGAAATTAATGTTGAGGAAATAATTTGTAAACGTGCACAATAAAATATGTCCTAGGGTAACCACTAACTGTTCAAAATTTCCCCAATGAACGGTCCATATGGTACTGGCAGTGTTGATACAAGTTCGAACATTTGCCATAAAAACAACAATAAACGGGAGCATAAAATGATGGTAAATACAGGAAATATGAATGATGGCATAATATAGCACGACAACGAAACATGGAACTAAAAATATGGTATGTGCCTGTACGAACATTGCACGACAACGAAACATGGAACTAAAAATATGGTATGTGCCTGTACGAACATTGCCAGATACAATATGAGCGACCATAGAAAAAGAAAAAGTTCTTTTATGCACTGGTAAAATCATCCTAGAATAAATTTAAATATGACATGGATAATAATGATAATTCAGATGAACAGTACAGTATATTTGGAGAATTTAAAGAATAGAGCTTTTGAGAACCACCATTAATATGTGTAATATGCGACATAGAAAATAGTAAATAAACATGGAGAACGGCGAAGAACTCGCAGAAATAGGTTGAGAGATACCATTAATATGCAATATGCAGCTATAAATGAAAGTATATAAATACGTAAATGCAAAATGGGCATAAAACAACTTGAAATAATATGGCCTAGCTAACAATCGATAATCCAAATGATAATAAATGGCCTAGCTAACAATCGATAATCCAAATGATAATAAATGATTATGATTACGATTGTGATTATGAGTATGAAGTATGAATGTGAACCATGACTACCCCTGAATAGGTCGTCTTTAAAATGTACAGGAAGTGCAAAACAAATGACACGACAAAAAAGAAACGCCTACAACGGGATTGACATGAGTACTTCAGTTGAGAAAAGCCGGTCAAGACAAAAGAATGTCTGAGTGCGTGGTAATAATAAGAGATGGTGAATCAGTCAAGGCGTGTTACAGGGTTGATGCACCCGACACGCAAATTACCCTGCTTAAGGAGATGATAAAGGCAGGGATATATGTTAGAGGAATGTAACTTTTTACTCGAGATTGGTTTGATTCAAATTTTTAATGTGTGGTTGACAATAAATAGAACTTTCTACAGTGCAGTTTTTGACACGGTTAAAATGGCAAATTGTTATCCACGTAGATATTAAGGAATTTGAAAAGTGTTTAAAATGTTTAATGGCCAGTCTTTCTACAAATTATGTTATGTTTGTCCTTTTAAATTTCAGTTCAAATAACTTTTTACTTAAAATCATAAAAGTGTCTAAATTATTAAATTTCAGATTAAATAACTTTTTACTTAAAATCAAAAATTGTTTAAATTATCCCACGTCAGGTCTAAATAAATTAGATATTAATTGAGTTCTATTTGGTTATTTGGTTATTTGGTTGATCAATTATCATTAATTTGGTCCTGTAACATATATCCAAATTAAAAACAGGCATCAAAACTTGCAATGACCATTGAGGCACTCCCCGAAGCGTCCGGAGACAGAGAAGTCCTACTAAAGAGAATACACGATCTAGTCCGTAAGGATGTTAAATTCGACCCGGAGACTAGACCAGTATCCATCCCGGAGGTGATACAACGAATCAACGAGAAAAATCTATTCAAGGACAAGGCCTTTGGGTCCAAGCTTAAGGATGATGTTATCAAGATCCTACTGACTAGGCCATCTAAGGTATGGCAAGCAGTTAAGCTTAAGGAGGAAGGCAAGGATCAGGAAAACGATGCACGCCTAGATGAGCTGGCCCGTACAAGCTGTGTGATGGAAGATATGATGATCAAAGCTAATATATCCACAGAGGAGAAGATGGAGGCAATCCTGAGTAAATGCACGGAGATAATGGAAAGCGTGGCAAAGGTACATAGTAGATTGGATAAGCATTCCAGCGAATGCATTGCCGTTGATGGTACACTAAAACTGCTGCAAAAGATAGCAGACAGAGTATGCCCGCCTGAGCCAAAGGAAGAGATCCAGGAACCCTTGTTCCAGTGCTCCTACTGCGAGATGGATAACCACAAGTTCAGTGACTGTACCGAGAAGGTAAGGTGCATGAAATGTGGACTATTTGTGCATAAACAGGACTCATGCAACTGGGAGAAAGATTGCAATAAATGCGGAAAACCAGGGCATGCTGCAAGACTCCACGATGTAATGAACCAAGCGGACAGAATCAAAATTGTTAACCTCCATGGGACGGAAGCATTCGGGCACTTTATGGCTGTAGGTGAGCAGCAAAGCACTTCGGGAAGTTACTCTGGACGTAGGGGACGAGGACGTGTCCTAGGATATGGTAAGAGAGGACGCGGTGGACGCAACTACTAAGACCGGATATCGCAATGTAGTATATGAAAGTTTTATCTTTTAGATTTAAATATCAGTGATAACAGAAGTATAAAAATGTGGTTATGAAAACTTAATATAAATCTATAATGTGTCTTTATGAAATAGTTTTAAACAGAACTATATAAAAAATGTATTTTATCAATAAAAATGTCAGTAATAACAGAATATTATATGCGTTTTTATCAATACATCTTGTTTTAGTATTAACATAGACTCCCGACACAGGGACAGTTTATTATCATGAAGGAAAAGATCCTTTAAACGAATTCACATGCTCGGCCATGCAATAGTAATCGACTAAATCCTGAAGGTTAACTGATTTATCAATCTATGAAACGAGAGCACAGCGTAATGACTGTGAGTATGCTAAATTAACACGGGAATGTATAAGTCAGCACCATGTAATGAGTGTGAGAATGCTCGAACATACAAATGTAATCGACTAAATTCTAAAGGTTGAATGATTTATCAATCTATGAAATGATATCACAGCGTAATGATGAGTGTGAGAATGTTCGGAAATGCAAAAGTAGCATAAAACAACTTGAAATNGTTCTTTCTTTCTTTCTCTTTCGTTCTCTCTTTCTTACTCCTTTGATCTTTCTCTTTCTTTCTTTCTTCCTTTCTCTTCCGTTCTTTCTTTCTTTCTCTTTCGTTCTCTCTTTCTTACTCCTTTGATCTTTCTCTTTCTTTCTTTCTATCTGCCCTCTTTCCTTCTTTAATTATTTCTTTCTTTCATTCTTTCTTTATATCTGTCCTTATTTCTCGCTTTCTTTCCTTCTCTTTCTCTCTTTCTATCTGCCCTTCTTTACTTCTTTAATTATTTCTTTCTTTCATTCTTTCTTTATATCTGTCCTTACTTTAGTCTTTCTTTTCTTTTTCTTTCTTTCATTCTTCTTTCTATCTGTCCTTATTTCTATTTTGCTCACTCTTTCGTTCTCTTTCGGTCTTCCTTTCTCTTTCGTTCTTTCTTTCTTTCTCTTTCGTTCTCTCTTTCTTACTCCTTTGATCTTTCTCCCCTTATTATTCCATATGAGAGTACAGGGACGGATAAGCACAAATGATGATAATAGCTGATGTCGAGCCGGAAGCCGGACACAAATAAACCCAACTTAATAATTACGCATTGGAGTGAAAAACACAATAATGTAGCGACTAAATAAACACGCATGTTAGTACATATACATGCAAGGCTTCCCTACATTATAAAAAAAATTTATTTTTTCTCCTTTTCTTTTCCTCATACATAATAAGTGTACCGGAAAATATTATACCCGAAAAGCCAAGCTGTGAGTCAGACACAACTGAACTCAACACAAAATGGTTTTATAAAAC